GCTCAGTCTCCTAATCCATTCTCCCGGGCCAGGCTCCGCTCAGGCACTAGCCTGACCTGCCCGACACGCATTTTCACTTCCCTGTGCTGAGCCCTGCTCTCAGAGCTGTCGGCCTCCCTGCGAAGGGCTCCACGTTGGTCCCCCTCGTCACCCTGTGAGGAGTGTTTGACCGCAGTCGCCCTACCCAGGGGCCCTCTTTCGAATCCCCTACCCCCAACCCAGCAGTCCTCCGTGGCTTCTCTCGGGGCAGAAACCTGCAACAGCAGTGACCGGGCAGGTGCCCGCCGCTTCCTGACAGTGGGAGCAGGCTGGGAAGTCAGCACACAAGTCCGTGGAGATGCCCGGGTCTTCATCTCCGGCAGCACAGGAACCATCAGTTCAGCAGCTCCTACCAACCCACGCCAACTTAAGCCAGCATTGTTTTCCCCTGACAAAGTAAAATATTTGTATGCTACACAAAACAGTAATTTCAGATCCTTTCCAAACGATGCTTAGTGGCAGTTAAAAAGAGCAACAATCCATTTTGCCTTTTGGAAAGAGGAGCCGGCCGCTCGGCACGGCTCACTAGTTCCTTCGTTCCAGGATGCCGGAACCCCTGTCCTCTCTGTCGCTGATTGAGTGTGCCAAGCCCGGTCTCCGCTGGGGAGAGGAGGGACTGGTCATGGGTGCCCTCCAGCCATGTTTCTGGAGGGCCAGCTCCCCACAAACAACATCAGAAGCCAAGACGGGGCCACAGAGCTGAACTGCTGTCGCCCAGCACCCCTGGGTGCCCTGCCCTGCTGGTGGGGAGTGAGTGGTTTTGGTGTGCGGTACCCTCAAGTCAGATCCAACTCATCAGGAGCCTGTGAGCAACAGATCAGCACCCGCCCCATCGTGCTCCCTGCCACCCGCCTTGCTGGGTTCCGGGCCATCATCTCACCACCGTGGGTCCATCGCACTGAGGACCTCGTTCCTTTTCACGGACCCACCTGCCTACCTCATCCGCACCCTCCTTGGTGTCTCTGCGCCTGTTGTCTCCACTGTGGTGTAGCTCTGTCTCCAGGATGTATCTCATCTAGCAAGACGAGCTCTCTCTCAGCTTGCTCCCGGCCGCTGCTTTACTGGGACCAGCTCCTCCTGATGACGGGTCCAGAGCGCATGAGACGCAGGCCTCCTGCTTCTAAGGAGCATGTGGACTCCACTGCCGTGGCTTCTGGGCAGTCTGTGGTGCACCCAGCGTCATTGTGTAAATGCACAGCTCCTCCTCCGGCGGTCCTCACTCCCTCCCACTTTATTTCTCCACGTGACGTCTTGACCCATAGCACTCTAAAGAGGGTCCCTAGCAGCAGACTGACCCAATGTCATGGTGTTCAGGTGGATTACTTGGCTGGGCACTTCCAGCCAGTCTTAGCAACTCCCTTCACGTGACCTTTCCCGCTGGGAAGGAGGTGGGGAAAGACACGGTGTTGTGAGCAGGTTTCCCTTGATCGTGAAAACTCAGCACTGTAACCCCTGGGTCGGTCCATTGGCCGTCCCACTGCGCTTAAGATGAACCATCTCAGAAGCAGGAAGGGGGGCCTCCCTAACTTCGGGAATGAAGAGCCGGGAGTGGAGCGGGTCCTTTGGACCTGAGATCCCAGCCCAGGGAGGGGGAACCGTTGCCCCAGTGATGCTGCAAAGCAGTGGCTGAGGCCGCGGTGGGCTTCCCAGCCCAGGCCCATGGAGTGAGTCTCGCTGAGTGCTTGCGGGTCTTGGAGGCTGCTTGTGGAGAGGGGTAC